AAGAAAGAAAATAAATAATTTAAAAGTATTCTTTATGTTTATTATTTTTATTTTATTAAAAACTTTCTAAAAATGTAAAAAAAGAGTTGAAATATTAATTTAAAATAATAATATTATGTTACATATTATTTAATAAGGATCTACATTTTGGAGGTGGTTACATGAACATTTACTGTATGTGTACTTTTGAAATAGATCAACCAAACCAACATTATGACACTTACAACGACACAAATTCCAACAAAAGAAGTAGTCAATCTTCGCAGACTCTTAGCCGTTTGTGAAAAACAAGCTTCAGAAGAAGATAGTTTAATACGTGGACCGGATAAAGTGAAATATATAGCGGTATGTCAATTTTATTTTTATTTTTTATCTTTATATTCAGTTTTAATGAAAATTAAATTATTTTCTTCGCTTTTAGAATATAAAGTATCTTTATAAGTTATTAGAGAAAATCGAAAAAGGTGACATCAAGTAAGTACTTTGATTGAATGAATTTTGTCTTAATAAAGTATTTATGAATTTTTCCTTAAAAGTGAACAGATCGATAAAACGGCCATTTGTGAATACTCGCGTAAAATTCAACAATTATCACATATAGTTGATGAAAATAAATTGGTAATAAATTGAATTGCATTTTCTTTATGTTTAAAAATTTTTTTTAGCTAATTTAAATAAAAATTTTTTAGACATCTCCAGTGTCTCGCGCATTTTCACAGGCGCGTTTTATAAGCCATGCAAAACAAACTCAAACCGAAAAAAACAAAGAGAATCAATTAGAGCTGAAAATGGTACGACGAGCTGAAAAGGAACAAAAGGAAGAATTGTTACAGGTTCGTTATTATCAAGTATTAACATCTCTCTTTTAAATATATAATTATTTATTTTATTTATTTATTTCCGCAAAAGGCGCCAACACAAGCATTTCATAGAGAACCCAAAGACACAAAGACTTATTCCGAGAAACGAAGTGGTATTTATTAAGTTAGTTTTGCCAAATTATTGAAACTTTTTGTTTCTCTTTTAACCGTGTCATAGAACTATTTTCTTCTGAGGCATCCGGCTCTGAAGTTAGGCAACGAAGGTAAAGTTTTATAAATTGATTACTATTTATTTATTCTTTCAAACTAATTGTATTTTTGTTAATGAAGAACCAATACCTTTGATCATGAGGATACAACGAATATCGAAAGTGTTCTACAACATCACCGAAAAACGCAAGAGGAACTTACGAATAATCTATTAAAAATGGCAGAAAGATTAAAATTGAATTCGGTGACGTTCGGAGATATATTATCAAAGGATGAAAAGGTTTATATAAATTAAAAAGGGGGTGTTTTTTTGTGAGGTAAAATTCTTCTATTAACTAATTTAATATTTAAATAATAGAATATAGATGAAGCTCAAAATGTTCTTGGAAGTAATTTAGATAGATTAAAAAGAGAAGGGGGTAGATTAGGAAGGTACGCTGCACAATCCAGTAAGACTACTTGGTTAGTTTGGTCGGTCGTGTTATGCGTGTGCGTTACGTTCGGGTTGATGTTTATGTTAATTCGTATATTTCCCAAAGGATAATATAAACAATGTCTTTAAAATTATAAAAAAGAAATTTATATTTGATTTGATTTTCCGAGATAAGGGATCACATCACATTAGTTTTTTCAAAATTTTTTGGTCTGCGTATTTTCCTTCTCTATACTGTTCAAGTGCCATTTTCCAAACCCTTGTTGTCCTTGCTTTGTATAGATATTTTTCTTCATAGAAATTCCCAATTCTCAAAACTTTTTTTACTTCTTTGCGAGCTTCTTCATTATACACGTAATTTTTGTCTCCAATGATTTCAATATATCCTATTGGATTATCATTTTCGTGAGGATAAGAATGCGTTTTGACATTTTGATTTTGATCAATTCTAAACACTTTGCGATGAAATTTCGGACTCTTCAGTATTTAGGATAAGAAAGATATATCAATCAATACGATAAATCATTGAAATAATTAATATATAATAAAATAATTTATCTTACATTTGGCTTAACTGATTTTTTTAATATACTTTGAGGCTGAAAATCTTCAGGTATATTTGCTAAATTTTTTCTTTTTCTGTTCCATCTCTTTTGAAGCTAAATACGAAAAAAAATAAAAAAATTTTTTTTTATTTATGTTAATAATTTGATAGTTAATAGTGGCTGAATATAGTTAAATATCAAATCTTAACTTGTTTCTCTTTTAATCTACCGTACCACACATAAATTGAACGTCGCTTCAGATACAAATTAAACTTTTCTTCTGCCAATTTCTCCCTATTATTTTGCATGTTCTTTCGACTTTTCCAATGATTTAAATATTTAACAAGAATTTGCTTTTGATTTGGTGTAAGTATCGGAAAAGCGCCGGGGAATGTGTTATGAGGATCTAGCCTTTGAAAATTGGCTGGTGTAATGGCTCTCGGTTTAACAGTTGGCTAAATGAGGAATTTTCATAATTAAATTAAAAATTTGTAATATTAGTAAACGAGTTAAAGGAAAGGATGATTGGCAACTATTTACTTCAAGATTCCTTTTAAGTAATCCTCCTAATTTCTTTACTTTATCTATTACAATAGAGGTGTAGATGGGATCGTAGCGGTTATTTGGACTTTTATTTACTGAATCTACAATCGGTGGCATCTTACTTTGTATTTTTTTAAAAAACAAAAAGAGAATATTATTTTTTTCTCTAAACGATCGTAAGGTCGAATTAATGAAATAATAAAATAAAATAGCAAATTGTTTTTACAATGATTCCAAGTTTGGCGAACATTTCACGTGAACGTGAGAAGGTAACACAAAATCACAAAAATCGTCCACTTGGAACGATTTAATAGGTCAAAGAGTTTATTAATTATTATAACAAAAAAAAAATTTCGAAAATATACTTTTACTCACTGTTTTAAAATATGAAAATATGATAAAAAATTTTGTAGTTTTTATATTTATACTTGTTTCTTTATCATGCCTTTTGCCTTCTTTCATAAATGCTAAACCCACTTTAGAAACAAAAGTGCACAAACTTAACGAGGAAACGCGCAAGAACCAAGGCGTGGTTGAACTCGATTCTAATTTGTACGATGAATTTGTTTCCGCACCGAGGAATTATTCTATAGCTATTTTATTAACAGCGCTAGAGCCACAAATAAACTGTGTGCCGTGCAAGTGAGTTTTAATACATTGTACTTGTTCGTAGTGTTGTTGACTCCTTAAAAAGTTGTAAAGTAGATAGATAATTTCCTAACTCATTTGATAGAGAATTCGATCCGGAATTTCGATTAGTTGCAAATAGCTGGTTATGGTCTGGAAACGATCCTTCGCGTTTATACTTTGGAATTTTGGACTTCAAGAATGGTAGGGAAATTTATGCAAGGGTAAATATCATTAAATAATTTTCAATCAAAATTTCTCGCGAAATAATAATAATTATTCAAATTAACTTGTTTGTAGCTAAACTTGAATAATGCTCCAACATTATTTTATTTTCCGCCAACGATTGGCCCATTTGCTCAAAAAGTATTTGAACAGGATCGATATGATTTCAATAGACGGTAAGCATGGTTTTGTTGATTTCGCGACAAAAGTTTGATAAATTGTAATTTTAATCGTTGTTTTTTTTTTTTGGATAGTGGGTTTACCGCTGAATCCTTGGCGTCATTTTTAGCACATCATTTGGGTACAGAAATTCCAATTAACCGTCCTTTGAATTATTTTTCCATTTTCCTTTCCATATTCTTTCTACTGGCGGGTCTGGCTATGTTGAAGTTGATGTATCCTACGATACAGAGCATAATTTTAAAAAAGAACATATGGACCGCATTATCATTGGTACTTATTTTATTTATCTTCGTTCCTTAATAACCCTTAATGTTATTCTCACAAATTTGGAATAGGTTATCATTCTTATGATGATTTCTGGACACATGTGGAATCATATTCGAGGTGCGCCTTACATATCTATACATAGCGGTAAAGTCAATTATGTCGCGCATGGTTATTCAAATCAACTAGGCATAGAAAGTCAAATCGTGGCTTTAATATGTAAGATATTAAGATTTACATTACATGAATTTCGTGATTTTTATAAATTTTCTAAATTTATTCATTTATGATCGATTTAGATGGAGTCAGTGCGTTATCTGTCGTATCACTTATCATTTCAGTACCGAAAATTGAGGACAAAACGAAACAACGTTTTGGAGTTTATGTAATTATTTTTGTTTTCATTTTAAACGTTAAATAATTATATTGATAAAAGATTTTTTTTTTTTTAGATTTGGATGGGAATTTTAGTTATAATGTCTAGTATATTGTTTGCACTTTTCCGACTAAAGAATCCAGGATATCCCTTTAGATTGTTCATTTGATATAAAATTTATAAAAAGAATTTAATTTCGTTAATAAAAAATAATCGATTTTAATTAATAAATTTGTAGCCTTTAAAACTTGCCCGCATAATTTCTACTTTTTTTGACGTTGCAATTTGATGCGTAGTAAATGAGTGAAACATTTTAAAGTATTTTTACCGTGTGATATATAACGAGTATCATCGTGATATAATTGGATTGGTTTATTTATTTATAGATTCTCCATAATAAGGAATGAGGAATTGACTGGTTCTCTGATTGGCCGAGATTAATAATTCTATTTTTAGCAAGAATTAACGCGACTTTAATACATAAGTCTAGAAATATTTTTTTATTACACATGCGATTTTTACGTTACGTTAATCTATGATTAATCTTTTGCGATACGAGGAAACAAAAAGATGGTCTTTTTCTTCTTTATAAGTAAGTATAGATAAGTTTATTGTTTTAAATGTCGCGTTTTTTTTTCATTGCGTTTTGCCGAATCAGAATTAGAAAGTGATTTATTAAAAGTCTAATATGCTATTCATAACGGATATTACTAAACGTGTATTTTTTTTTTAATATTTTGAAATAAGGTTCATATGCGCCAAAACTTACAAGGATGGCATCTTCGGCCGTAAGGTGTCCAAATTGTTTGGATCCTACTCCAACGATTAACCAATATAAAGTGCAAAATCAATTGTCACTGTTCTTTATCCCTATTTGGCGAACCAAAGCAAAATATTTATGGATTTGTGATCGTTGCAAATGGACAGGGCTTTCTAGACCCGAAGAACAAGTTAGAGAAGAAACTGTGCTTGGACAGCAGAATCCTCCACTGCCAACTTTGGTAAGGTTTCTGTTGTGACATGATATCGTATGTCAATGCATATAATAATCTGAATTATTATCAAATTAGGGGTTGACTCGTTGTACTAATTGTAACATGGAGGTAAGATATTATTTGCAAAATCTTTTTTGATAACGGATTTTAATGGAATTGTATTTTTTTTTTAGATTAATAATATCTCTGGACAAATGAGATTTTGCCCATACTGCGGATCAAAATATCTCTGATTAACTTGAATGTTTTAAGCTATATTTATTATCTCTGGAAATTAAATGAATGACTATCAAATATCGAAAATAGCGCATTGACGCGTAATTTATTTATTTATATCTAGTATAGTTATTCATTTACTTAATCATGTTTTTTTTTCATCGAATATATGCTACTATGCTTCAAAATTTAATAAATATTAATAAACTATATATATATGTATATATGTATTATATGTATTAAAACATAATTTATATATGTATGAATTTCTTTAAATCACTTCTTATTTGAAATAACAAATAACCAGTGGGAAATTAAATTCCCAATGAGATTTTGATCTAGATTAAGGCGTAAGCTAATTAAAAGGGGTTAATTTCTATCATTGTTCAAATCGGTAGAATATAGAGAACATGTGGTAGTGTCTTTGGTGGAGGTGCTGTCACAACAAAAACGGCCGATCGTATTTAATCAGGTGATAACAACACAATGTGATAATAGGTGTGATGGCTAATGTTGCCATATTACAGACTTCGGTCGCTGTATACTTTTTTTTTTTTTTTTTTATTCTTTTCTTTATTGACAAAATTTTATAAAATTAAATACACAGAGACTCAAAATAATAAAAAAAAAAAAAAAATTTATATACAACTGATCATAACGATTATAAAAATGAGTGCCACTACATCTATTCAAAAATCGCAACAACCTCAACAAAAGCCAGGCTTTCGAAAAATAATGACCTGGAATCCTAAAAGAAGTAGCAAAAAAACCCCTAATTTATCTTATAATAATGCGTCCGGTATGTTTATATTTGAAGGTTTTTTTATTATTTTTTGTTTTCCCGGTTACAGTGTTGCGAAGAAAGTTCACGTGTACCCTTAGATGTTTGCTTTCTGCGTTGTGTTCTAGGTTTTTTATATACATATATATATATGTGATGGACTATTAAACTACACTTAACCCTCAACTTAATAACTGATAATTTTTCGTTAAAATTCATTATACATATACCTCATACACTTATATATACCTTTTCCATGATAGAAGGAGACGACAAATCATCGCCTGCTCCGGCAAGCCCTACTCCTAGTTTGAGGAGTCTTAAATCGGGAAGACCATCTCTGTTTGCAACCTTTGCACGCAGAAATTCTACTAAAAGCGAGCACTCCTCAAGGAGCCGTTCACCTACGAGTCCTAGACCCTCACATGACTTAAATTTTGCTTCGGATGGGATTCGTACCCCAAGCCCGACACCATCACGAAATTCTATGATATTTGAACGGGACATTGAATTTCATGATCATCTTAGCGTTCACGAGGCCATCGACCTCGCTATTCCTCCTGTTTTAGATGATGCGGCCGAAGCATTTGTGAATGAAGAAATACCTACTATTCTAACAGAGACTAATGGTGAACACCAGGAAGATAATGGAGATGGCAAAGACGGTGAATCCGGAACCGGGAAACAAGAATCAATTGGTGAGGATCCTCGGGTTATTCCATTAGTAGAAAATGAAGGTCGAAAGCGACTTTCGTTAATAAATTATGCAGAAATCGTTGATCACCAACATACAATTGCTGAAACCTTAAGAGTAACAACACCAAGAGAAATGAATGAGTTAACTGGAATATTTGATAAATAACCATTTCTTTGCTTTCATTTTATGAAAAAAGGGAATTTGGGTCCGTCGTGAAATATGAAATGGATCAGGTGAGCTACAAATTTTTATATTTATTTGATTTGGGGGATTTTTTTTTCGTTGGTTTGCTTTTGGTTCATGGAAATATTTTCTTTATTGCATTCATATAATTTGCCGTTAAGTACGTCGGCAGTACGGTGATTTTTTATTTTTTTTTATTTTTTTTTTTAAAAAAAAAGGGGGACCAACAATATTATCAAATCGAAATTTAACAGATTTCACTAAATCAAACAAAATTTTTTTTTTTTCTTTTTCTTATTACCATTAATCTTTTTTGCTTTAATACTTTTTTTTGAATTTTGAATCCTTTTGTAGAAAATAATTAATGATATATACACAAATCCGAGGATCGCAAGGATATTGGGGAAAAGGGCAGTTCTGGTGCACAATTATAAATTTGTATTATTCATTATCACACTATATATATATATTTTTTTTTCTCTACTATATATTATACATATACATACATATTACATATTATATATACAAATGTGCCTAAACTTCCTTATTACTGGCGAGTGGATCAAAGGTGTAGATTTTGAATTTCTTTAATTGAGTGCAAGTTCCTCTTTCTTCCTCTATTTTGATATAATATTTTCTCTTTCATTCAATAAGAAAAGCAAACAAAAAAGTTAAGGTGTTTTTTTCAATACAAAAAGCTTGTTTTTTAAATGACCAATTTTTGCGAAATTTTTTTTTTTCTATCCATTTTTCATCTAAAGTACATACTTTCTTCACATCGAATGTTTTAGTAAGGCTGATTTTCAAATGAAACCTCATTTTCATTGTATTTTATTTTATATTTTTTTTTTTATAGGTTTATTCCTTTACATATATACATCATTTCTCATAAATATTAAATTTTTTTTTTTATATGAATATATAAGTTTATTTCATTTTTTTTTCACATAATATATATATATTTTTTATTAATATTTTCTTTATTTTTGTTTTATTTTATCTTTCGTTTCG